GACAATAAAGAACTGTTGCTGTACTCTACTTTTATCATTATTTTGAGTATACATTTTCTACTTGTGAAAGGAAATCGGTATGATTTCATAGACAGTATGCTATGTTGCACTGTTAGCAGTTTTATACATTGCATGTTTATGAACATTTAATTGAATGTTTTCCTCCTGTACTTAATTTAATATCCTATAGTTTTGCTCATCATGACCTAGTCTATACAGTGTGTGTGTGTATATGTGTGTGTCTACAGAAACCTAGGCCACATATAGCTCTTAGGCCATGTGTAGCCTATGGATCATATCACATAAAAACACTCACATGTACACTAACTGTATAGTTCAGGTATATAAGTATATTCTATAATGTTCACATAACAAAATTGCCCAGCTATGCATTTCTCAGAATTTGTCTCCATTATTAAACAATGCCTGACTATAGTTGTATATTTTTGTTTTAAAAGCTTTGTGAACTTTCCTTTCTCACTAATGGGAAGCAGATAAATTGAACTAATTCATTTTGAATCTGATTAGTTTTCAAATGATCACCAATATAAAAAGCAGATGAATGAACTATAGATCCAGACTGCTCAAATAAATGTCTGGTGTTTATTAGAATTGGTAATTTCGGTTACCATTTTGGATTAGTCTCATCCTTTTTCCGTGCTGAGTTCTTAGAAAAGCTTCACCAGGAAGCTTTCTCAATTAATTCCATTTTGCAATATTTCATTAGTAATCAACACAAGCACCAAAAGTACACATTTATTGGGTTATCTACCTGAAGTCTTGCTGTTGCAATGTAAACATTTCTGATTTTGCTGGAATTCTAAAGTTAGCTCTTGCTCTTTCAGTATCAGAAAAGCTAGATCAGCAAAATAATTTGAGGAACTCAGTATTTTTTTATTAATTCAGCCAGCATTTTGGTGTTCTTTTTGACTGCATTAATGAGACTCTAGGCACCTAAATATCATTTTATTCCTCCCATATATTAATATGCTTACATCACACTTCTAAAGATGCTTTTGACAAATTTCCTTTTAAGTATTTGATACAAATCAGAGGGTGAGGGTGGTTTTGTGTGGTGGTTCATTTTGTTCTTGCCAAATTACCAACAAGATAAACATATTTCCCCTATATGCTTAATATAGTTTTTAAAAGATGGTGTGAGGAATTTTTACAACATAGTCTATAATCTTCATATTAAATTCACCTAATGTCATTTGAATGTAACTATCTCTTAGATTCACTTCTCACTTTTTAAAATCTTTGATCTCAGACCTTTAGCTTCCCCCTGGACATTTCTGACATTTCAAAAAGTTGTATAAATATCTTCAAGAGGCAAGAGTCCAAAACAGTCGTGTGACCTTCTCCTCCCCTTAACTGAGATACCCAAGTCCTGATTTCATCCAACAGCACTACTTTCAGGTGTAACAGATACTCACTTATTTGTGATATATGTGCCTTTCCTTGGGATCTCATATATCCAGTCATCAGTAAATCCTCACAATATGTCCCAATAAAATTAAATTTAAAAGGCAGAGAAGAAGCTTTATCCTAAGAAAAATCTATTTTCGTATATTATCTAGTCCAATCCCCTCACCCTGTCACCCTGTTTCTGATTAGTATGACTTAAGAACACTGTTTCAGTTTGGTTCGACCTTGCCCATCCAATTTTGTCACCTTTATTCATAATTCTGAACTTTTTTCTCTACTTATTAGACTCCTCAGAATATGCCCTAAACATGCTTAAGATTCATTCCCACACTAGGACATTTTCTGAGTTTTTGCCTCTGGAAGTTTATCACTATCCTTCTCTCTTTTCCTTACCCATCACCAACTTATCTGTCATTTAGCTCAATCTAAGCCCCTTATTCAGTATCTGATTATTACCTGCTTTTACTTTCCATTTTTAGATATATTCCTCTTTTCACAGTTTCAAATACTTTTACTGTCTAATTCTTAAAGTCAAGATCCATGATTTTGATTGCTTTATTGTTCATCTCCATAGTGCCTTGCACAATGCTAGCAGGAACTAATAGTTTGAGAAATGCCTGGTAACTTGAAATTAAGAAGAATTGAACTAATGTCTTTCTTTGCCTGGAGTTGTCTATAACATGTTGGGGAAAAAAATGCCATATCTAACCTCCATCTCTTCTCATGTGTTTATGGCCTGCTTTATAGCCATGTAATGAAAATCAGTATATCATTGACCTAATTATGTAATTTAAAAGCCTCCTCTGTTGGACAATCTACAGAATTAAAACTCATGCCAAGTGGATAACACTGGTTTTAATCTATCTCTCCTTTGAGAAATGAGGACCCAGGAAAAATGCCTCAGGCACTGAAAATGGAAATGGTGTGAGTTCCTTTATGCAAGAAAAGAAGCTCCTTTGTCCCCTCCTGATGAAAAGCTTACCAGGAGGCTATGTAGCCAAAGACTGGGTAAATAGCATAAGGCATTTAGAGAAGGATGTTCCCTAGGAAAATATTGAAAGGAAGATAAGGTATAATCTAGTAGATTATTCTGAACAATGCCTGCTTTTACTTAGAATGTAAGTAGTCTCTTACGATAGTACTTTGTATCTCACAGCTAATGAACATATGTGAAATTTGGGAATGTGGGCAAAAAGGGTTTGGAGAAGGAGAATCTCTTTCTCACATCTGGCACTTCATTGATAAGATTATATTAAGTTCTAAACTGTGTGTTGGCACTCTGTCCTCACCTAAGGGCATACTATTTATCTAGAATTTAATAAGGAGGATCTTGTCATTCAGAAGCTACCTGCCTCATGGGGCTCTGATGGAGGTAGTGTACAATGAAATTGAATGGAATATCTTTTAGCTTAGGTCATAAAATGACACTAGAGACAGTTCTCCAAGTAAATGTAAAGGCAGCTTCTTTTGGAGTCATACCCACTGGAGCAACATCAGTGGAAGGGAAGGGGATATTAGATTCTAAGAAAGCCATTGGTCTGCCCCCTGCCCCAGAGATAATTGTATCATCATGCAGTGCTGCAGTGATCCACGTGTCAGTGAACTATCTCATATCCATTTGAAAGAATAGTAATTTTTAATAATTTTTTATTTTCTGCTATGGGAGTGTGCAACCTGATCCCTGATTAATTTTGCTTTAGTTTGCTTGTTTTATGAAATAGAATGTGTTCTGTGGAGCTATGTTTGGCTTGTAAAGGAATGGTGGTGATGTTCTGTCCCACATTTGAAAGCAGTAAAGCTCATGTGCAAGCAACAACTTTGAAAAGTTTGAGGACTTCAGGGGCTCATGTACTTTTTTTCATAAGCACTGGTCACTTCTCTCTAGCATCTGCCAGGTTTCTTTGTGATATCTGAAGAGGTGACTTCTAAGAAAAGAAATCATTCCTTTGTGCAATGCAAACATTTTCATATACTTAGTTGGCAAGCAAAACAAGACTGTCTGTGAATTGGATATTCAGATTAGGACCAGATATCAGTGAATGATATCAGATATGTCAGTGAATGAACGAAGCTTCAAACTATGATAGCCTGTACCCCAGAAATAAAGACACGAGAACAAAGGCTCAGTAGTTCACATTTACAGAACAGATGATGGTACAAAGCTATCAGTACAGGCCCTTCCAGGATAACAATTAAAAATATAGATGTCCTAATAACTGCAACTTAAATTTGTTGAAATCCCCCAGTTGTCAAGGAGCGTTCATCTGCACTTTCACACTTGATTTCTACCAGTGTTTCCAAGAAGTAGTGTTTAGGCAATGTTTAAACGTACAGAAATACATTGTCTTAAATACGAATATTTTAAGAACACAAAATTATAAGGAACAAAAGTATTGATAGGTTGGCCGCTATCTAGAAATTAAAGTATAGTCCATTAAATATCTTACACCTATTCAGAATTACACAGTCATTTCAGAGGACCGTCCCTGTAAGCCCATGAAAACATCCTTATTCATCATTTCAACCTAATTAGGAATAACAAGGAGGACTATTTTATTTGTGTCAAGTTTGCTAATAAAAATGAAGCCAATAGAGGCCCTGGATGGAGGTAGGATGATTAGGTATGCCTGGTATGATTTGCGAATAGTGCAGTTTTATGGAAATACTGCAGCTTAGCTTTGGCATTGGTTATGAGATCCTACAACAGTTTTATAAAGGGCAGTGTGCTGAGTTCATTTTTCAGCCAGCTCAAATTTTTCTCTAAGAGATTCTGGGACATAGGTTCCATGGCTTAGTTCTTCCAGAGAAACTTATCTTTTTCAGATAAAGGTGTGTACTGACCAAGGCTGAAGGGCTCAAAGGGCAACCACACTTGGGATTCCAAACTAGTAGCAAGGCCATAACTAATCCGTCTTGTGTCTGAAGTATTCATATTCCTAGGACTTTCAGAACCCATAGTCCTCATAAAATGAAACTCTAAAAACCCACAAAGTCCCAGTGACAAACATTTATTTATTTATTTTTGCTTCTTACCTTTTCCTCGCTTCCCTTCTACTTACCCCTCCTTGATAAAGCTCGTAGCACAGTATTTTCAGTTTTAACTGAACTCTCTTGATCCTAGAAGACAGATTTAGACATGCTTCTATTACTTTGTTTTTCCTTTTAGAGCCTATCCAGCTTGAAACCCCATGCTTGGTGATACCACCGAACCATTTTTTTCTATTTCCAGATAAAATAAAAGCAAGCCTCTTTGGTCCTGTTATTGAAGCAGTGTGAGGGAGTCATTTGCTATGAGATGGTTCTCTGGCTGCCAGCCAAGATATGAACATCTCTAGTGTCCATGCTATTTCCTGAGGAAAACACCCATGGGAAGTAGAATTTATTACAACCTGCTATCTGTACTCCTGAAAAGTATAACCACATGAAACTCTGGGAAAATGAACAACTTACTAGGATTCCTTCTAGAACTAGCATGCTAACGCATTCATGGTTTAGTCAGTCTAAACACTATTGAATGATTGCTATCTGCTTTTCATTGCTTGACTTCATCTTATTCCTTTTTGTAATTGCAGGTCCCACAGGTATGGATCTTTGGCAGTTGCTGTTGACCTTGGCACTCGCAAGTGCAGGCAATGCTGTTGCTGGGAGAGAGGGTGAGTTCTGCTTTTCTATTCTTGCACTATGTATTATGAAAAAACACTGAACTTGGTTAAAGTAAATTCTTTTCTGATTCAATTAAACAATGAAAATTTTAGGTAGCAGCAAATGGGAAACATCTCAGCTTTAAACTCACAAAGAGGACTTTTTGTGGATGTTTTAGAAAAAATACAGTAGTCAGCTTTGCATCCAGCATTTTCACATCAAAACTAAATGTCATGTAGCATGCTGAGGGCTTCCCCCCCCCCAGCAAGCCAGGTCCTTGGTGCTCAGCTCTGGGAAAGCTTTTGAAATTGCACTGAAGGGTTATTAACCTACTGATCATTCTGCTCATCTGTGACTAAGGATATCATGGTCTTTTCTGGGGCTCAGAATTCAGCCCACTTAATCATATTCTTTGAGAGAGGAAATTGCAGGTTTGGAATGAATTTGAGCTCTCACTCTCTGAGTGATTACCATTTGGCTGACTCTGAGGGAAGAGACACCTGAAATACTTGAATCTTGTACCCAGAAGTCATGAGATTCTTTAGCCTTCTCTATAATTTCCCTTTCTCCATATTTTCAAACTTACATAGCAGAAACAACAGAATCCAAGAAGAACAGTGAGAGGAACAAGGAAGAATCATTTTTCTGACCAGAAAGAAATCTTTTATTATTCTACTTGCCTGAGCTTCAGTTGAGTACAGGAACATGCTATGACATGGAATTCAGTTGTCGCTTTTAGAGTAGCCGATTCCCTTATCCACCACCCAACTGTTACAGAAAACACATTTTACCAGCAGACTTAGTGCCTTAAGATGTCCTCCCTGACCTCTAGCCAAAAATACATGCATACCATAGTAGTGAGCTGTTGAGGAGCTGCAGAGTAATTTAGAAAACAAAGGGGTACAATGTGTTATTTGTCTCTTAAAGCAATTCAAAATATTTATGGAAAAGAAGTCAGAATTGTTTGAAATACTTTTTGGTCTCTCTGGTGTGTAATGTCAACATTATACAAGTTAAACATGGAGAGAATTGCAGGCTTCATTTCAGCAGCTTTTCCCACGGCTTGTTTTAGACTCTGGTTCTGAGCCAAAGAATTACAGCTGAGATTCCCCCCTGTTCCAAAGCCATGGTGGCTTAATCGCTCCTGTCTTCACTACGATGACTTTTACTCCACAGTGCAAGGCTTGAGGAATTTCAAAGACCTGTGAAATAACAAAAGTGGCACAAGAATCTTTAAGGAAATTTTAAAATGTATCCTGAGATTAGAGCTCAAATTACATTTCAGACCCATATAATCCACACAAGGCATCTATTTCAGTTATTCGCCCTTTTAGCAGAAATGTAATTTCATAAGGAGTGCAGGAAAATTTATCATTGGCTATTTTCCTCAAAAAAATAAATTTTGCTGTATATATTTAAGCTATACCCAAATCCTATAAGATACATGTATATAGTAAAATTGTTATATATTATGATGGAATAAATCGGCATTATCATCATCTCATATAGCTACATCACCCCTGGGAAATCTATTTATTTAGTGGCTGTTAACCATAATCCCGATGTTGTACTTAAGATCACTGTATGTTCATCTTACATATGTGCTACTCTGTATCCTTTGACCTAAATTTTCCTCCGGCCTTCCCCCATCCCACTACCAATAACCTCTGCTCTCCGTTTTCTCTCTCTGTCTCCCTCCACCCCACCCCACCCCTTTCCCTCTATTTCACGTCACTTTTTTTAATTCCACACAGAAATAAGTAATATTTTCTTTGTCTGTGTCATTTATTTCAGACAGCCTCACTATCTCTTAGGCTCATCCATGTTGTGACAAATGGCAGGATCTCCTTCCTCTTCAGGGTGAATCAGAGGTTATCTATGTAGTTTCTTTTTAATTCATCTGCTGGTGGACACCTAGTTTTTTATCCACTCATCCATTGATGGCCACCTAGTTTGTTTCATATCTTGACTGTTGTGAATAATGTCACAGTGAACGTGGGAGTGCAAATATCTTCACTGGGAGGTTAATTTCATTTCTTTCGTTAACTGGTTTTAATATTTGCTTTTGGTTTGCTTCTTAATAGTTTTTGCTTGTTTTGTGTTTGTTTGTTGGGAGAAAGTAGAATATAAGAAAATGGTTTATAACAATACATATCTTACCAATATTTATATATAGAAAGTAATTCAGCAAAAAATAAAAAGGTTTTTCCTCCTTTTCCCCCTTGTTGGGCTAACCAAAGTTTGACTGTAATATGTGAGGGATCCAAAATACTTCCTTTAATTGCCCAGAGATGAAGGAAAGGGATAGTATTTACATAAGAAGGCATAAGTAAGCATGTTCATGCAAGTGCATGCATGCTGGAATGTGTGTATTTATTTGCCAGTTCTGGCCAATTGTATAATAGTTCAGCTGAAGTTAACACAAGATAGGGCATAAATCATGATCTCAGATGACATTCATGGGCCATGTGTTTCTTTTTCTGCCAAGTCTAGATCATATCATTTTGTTTTTATTTTCACCACTATTGTTTCATAAGCCATTTACTTTAATTCAACTTGGGCACTGAAAGATATAACACTATTAAGTGATCATGAAGGCCTCTCCTGGAGAAAAGTCACTGAGGAGTTGGTAGAAGATGACAGATCCATGTGCCTGGGAGTGACTGGCCCTTGAGCTCTTGAATAGAATTTTTCTTGCATAAGCAAATGAGCAATTAGAATTACACTAGGCCTGAGAGGATTTTTTTGTTTGTTTGTTTTCTTTTCTTTTCTTTTCTTTGTTTGTTTTGGTACTGAGGATTGAATTCTGTCCTTGGGCTTGCAAGGCAGGTGCCAGAAGCACTGAGCTAAATCCTTGGCCAGAGAGAATGTTTTTTTATTTAGTCTAATTGCCCTGTAAGAAATTTAATGAAAACTAAATATTGAGCAGAGCCATCATGATATTAGCTGAAGTACTGTAATAAATACTTTCTCTTTGTCTCTCATCCTAAATATGAGGCTCTGTATCTGCTTCTCAAAGCAGGTTACATAGTCATGGAGAACTTTGTATTCCAAAATCAAAAATAATCAAAAATGCTTCATTTTCAAGGGAACTTTACCTGGTTAGTCTATCAACTTGTTGCATCAAAATTACTGCTCCTATAATACTGTTAATGAGAAATGTGCATAAAGATCTGACCAATATAAGTATTCTTCCTATGAGTGCCTATTATAAATTAAGTTTACATCATTACTACACTACATTAATCAGTCCAAAACTGAGCCTCCCCTTGCTTCCCAGCAATCTAAGATATAAGTAGACAAATTCCTGCTCTGAAAAAGTGCAGTTTAGCTGGGACATTAGTAACTTCTAGAAATTAATTAGACTTGTGGCTTTAAAGTCTAGATAGTATGATGAAAATACATGGTCAAGATGCTCTTCAACAAGTTCACTGCAGATTTTTTTTGAAGTTTTCTATTTTCAAAGCTTGAACTTAAGAGGATGTTTCTTCTCTCAAGAGATGTATCATAAGTTAAGAAACCCAGTGTATACACCAAGAATTATAATATAATTTCAGTCATATATATATATATATATAAATATATATGAAATGGCCTGAACTTTATAGGAGTAGCAATAAAAGGAGATCCCTTTGTAATGAATTAACTTCATGAAGAAGATTCACTTCAGTGTGGGCTGGAATGTTTTGTAAAGATTTTTACCAAGAATTAATATAATTTCAGTCATATATATATATATATATAAATATATATGAAATGGCCTGAACTTTATAGGAGTAGCAATAAAAGGAGATCCCTTTGTAATGAATTAACTTCATGAAGAAGATTCACTTCAGTGTGGGCTGGAATGTTTTGTAAAGATTTTTGAAAACAGAGAAGAACAGGAATAGCTGCTATGTTGAAGGAACAGCCTAAACAGACATATGCAAGTGGAGACATGAAGGAAACATGGAGAACAGTGCGTTCAGTTTCTGAATTTATACTACATTCATGGCACCACGCTAGACAGTGAGTGGTTCTATTTTCTGAGTTTAACATTCAGCAAATAATTGCCAAGTACTTAGATTATGGATGGCAGATAATTACTTTGGCAGAGTGCATGGTACATAGGATCTATATTTATAACTATTCCCCTTGAAAGTAAACTTGAGTCTATAGATCTGAGTCATATGATAGCCTAGAGAAAGCTTCATGGACGCTTGGAAAAAGAGAGGCTTCATGGAAAAAGAAAGGCTTGCTGGACCCTAAAAATTCAGTAATATTTGGAAAGGAAGAAAATGAAGAGGAAATACATGCCACATCCAAAAAATAATAGTCCTTCTCATAGTTATTGGTAGGCCAGGCAAAAGTACCAAGCATATGATGGAACATTGTGTGTTTGTGATATCATGTATAGTCTTTATGTGTAGCATTTAGATGTGATATAAGTAGATTTTTATGTATATGTACATGTATAATATTATATGTTATGTATATTTATATATACATGAGTAATAGGCATAGCCTGTAGGAAAACCTCATATCTAACATCATACCATTCTACAGATTAATTCTGTAAAAGATGTATTGTTCTATGCTGGTCAAGGGAAGAAATCTTATCAAGAATGAGTTGCCTGGTTTGAAAGGAACCAGGATTCCAAAAAATAGGGTTTTCTGTGTATTTTTTAGCACTCTTTATACTCTTATGCAAAATAACAACTTATTTGGAAGAATATTCTTCTGTTCTCATTGCTGTCAGATAGAAAATAACAGCATGCGAGGAAAGTTTTAGTTTAAAAAAAAGCATACTGTATCAGGACTCATTCGAAGAACAGATTTAATCAGCAAAATAGACTTACAGTGGCTGCCTAGGGAATCAGGGGTGGAGGAATGCAAAATGGCCATCTGAGTCCAGGACAATCAGAGGATCCGATCAAAAGTCAAAGACCTGGAGCATACTGCAGAGTCCAGTGCAAATCAATGGAAAGCCAAAGGGTCTGCAGAAGGCTCTGTGCTTGAAACCTGAAGGAAC